GGCACTATTTTGCTGTCAGGGGAGTCCAAACGCCCCATGTGCAATTAAGCACATTAATAACAACTGCATTCCTTTTAGCCAAGTCAGTTCCAGTCTCTTGTTATTGTGTGTGATGTCTCATGGGTACGTTATACTGGGACACTGTTAGTGCTAATACTTATTTGTGGTCCGCTTGTGCTGGAAAACTGATCTGATAACATTAATAGGTTGAACGGGTTTAACATCAGAGCGAGCAAGTCTTTTTTTTTTTTTTTTTTGGCTCTACTGAATAGACATAATAATTTGTATCTGTGTTTGCAGACTGTGTCGTACACCCAGTTCCTGTATCCCACTTATGTGCTGGGTGGCCGAAGAAACACAATCGACTCCACCTCGTCCTTCTCTCAGTCTCGCAATGCAAGCCACCGCAGCCTCAGCTTGGCCCGAGCAAACAGCAACCAGAGCAGCTTAGACACAGGTTGGTTTCCAGGCTTTACCTTTTCATCGTTTACTACAGTTGGGTCCACGTGTTTGGACAATGAGGGCTTGTTTTTTTTTTTTGGGGGGGGGGGTTGGCAATTTTGTCTCTGTACACCACATCAGTTTATTTTAAATCAAGATGTGATTGAAGTACAAACATTAAGCTTTAATTCATAGGGTATAACAAAAGCCTTGCACATCTTTCAGAGGCACAAAATTAATTGGACAGCTCACTGATGAGCATTTCTAGGCCAGGTGAGACCCTGTTATTCACGACAAACTGATTAGATAAAACGTCTGGAGCTCAGAGGCCGTAATTAGGCTAAAAAAATCTGTCTCATTCTTAAAAAGAAGCGTTTCACCATCCAGATCAGCAACAGCTATTGGTTACACATAAAAACAGGAAGGACAAGTTAGACTTTGTCAGAGAGCATCTAAACAAACTTAAAAGAGCCCGTACAATCCAAAAGAAAAATCTTGAAAGCAAGATTTCCTCATATCAGAATAGTGTACAAAATAATAATGATAATAATAATTATATTCAAATAAAGTGAAAAGAAACAGTCTGTGATTCAACCACATTACCTGCTAAATGTGCTACAGGAGGTGTTGTGTTGTGGGCTTGTATGGCTGCCAGTGCAACTGGGCCACCAGTGTTTGTTTATGATGTGAGCGCTGATAGCAGGCTGGACTGTGACGTGGCCAGGGCTATGCTCTCTGCTCAGATTCAGCCAAACGCCGCAGAACTGATGAGACGACGCTTCTCGGTACAAGTGGATAAGGATTGTTTGAGCCTCTGAACATGGGGGACTACAAATAAAAATGGCTCTTAATTCCTAAACATGTATAACTTTATTTTATTTGCTTTGTTTATATGTAGAAAAACAATGAGTTGGAGCAAATCTGCCTCTTCTAATAATTTAAGTTACTTTAATTCAAGTCATTTCTTCACTTTGTATGGCAACTATTTCTCCCAGTCTGGTATTCTTCTTCCATTTTCAGTCTGTATTGGAGTTTTTCAACCATAATCGCCCGTTGTCTATAGCTCGGTGTAATTCTTAAACATTTAATGCCAAATATTTTGGGTAAAGTTGTCGAATTAAAGCTCAAAGTCCACATGTCAGTCACACCATGATTATTTGATCTTAAAATGCTCTGTGTTGGTGTACAAATAGAAGAACGGTCTCACTGTCCGAGCACTTTTGGCCCTAACTGTATATTTTTATTGAAAAAGGAAATGCATGAAATTCTAAATCTGACTCAACCTTCATTGTCTGCGTGGAAATGGCAGGGAATGATTTCGGGGACTTTCGCGAGTACGACCCTAATCTGCTGGATGACCCACAGTGGCCTTGTGGTAAACACAAGAGAGTCCTCATCTTCCCCTCCTACATGGTGAGAAAATACTAATCTAATACATCACAATCACAACAACAGCAGCAACTGCTGCCTCGTAGCCTCTTGAGAGCAGAAAGGAATGGTGGTTTTTATCCGCAGCTTCATTTGCTTTGAGATGTTTTGTTGAAATGTTCTGAAATATCTCACTGGTATTTTTTATTTAATTTTTTTTTTATCATGCTGGGGTTCTGTGCTCAGTTTTCCCACCACAACAGAGAACAATAAAACCAGAAATATTTGTCTAAGGGTTCCTTCACCAAAAATAAAAAATCCTCAGTTTTATCTGCTTATTTAGTTTTTATCAGCAAGGTCACTGGATGAGACTCTCCCACCGCTTTGGGCCTGAAACGATGCAGATACTTTATCTCTGTGTAGTTGGCAGTAGCTATTAAAGAGCTACTGTGGCTCTCCCTCAACACTAATCATTCTTTTTACTTTTCCGGAAAAGCGCGGTTGTTTTACTTTGGTTTGAAAAGCGAGGGAAAAAACAAAACGGCCCGATTCCCCCCTCATTCTTTCCAGGGTTCAGTTTTCGCTGTGGAGACTGGCAGAATGCACAACGAGTACTGACACAGTTGAAATGTTAGTCAAGGCCAGGGTTTTTTTTGTCCTTTCTTCCTCCAATTACTCTTGACAACAATAGCTATTGTGTTTACTACCGCAATGGAAGCAGTGAATTCTCAGCACTTCAGGAATTGGACACAGGCTGCTTGGGAGACCTGACTCTCAAGCTTTCAGGTTCAAACAGGGGATAAAATTATCTGTGCATATTGAAAGTCTTCTTTGTATTTCTGGCGACGTTGCATAGTAAATGGGTTACACCCAAGGAAGGTTCCCTATTTGGTCCTATCAGCTCTCAAACTACAAAATTCACCATCCCAGAGCAACAAAAGCAATTTTTTTTTATGGACCTTTAATCCTGGGATTAATAGACAGGCCTCGACAGGGATCTAACTCCTAGCCCAAACTCACACCCACACATTAAGCTCTCCCAGTGTGACTCAGTGCTTGTTATGGCATGCTTTGAGTATGATGTGGCTAAGGATTGTTTAACAGACATTAGAAAGGCAAGTTAAAAAATAAATAAATCTATAAACCATATAAAACTGAAAACTAAGATTAAAATAATGCTAAACTAAGATGGAAAGATGCAGAGAAACTGAAAATCCTGCTTTTAGCAGCAGAACCATCTGTGTGGGATTGACTGCTAAATAGTTTGTGGCCGTCATGATGAATTAAAATTTGGCCAAAGGCATCAGTTTATCTTGTTACTGTCTTTTAATGCTACTTTTTGTGACACGGAGCAATTTAAAAAAAATTTACAGTCTTGGTTTTAAAAAAACAACAACAAACCAACCCAAAAACAAACAAACCACACACTCTTTCATCATTTCTATGGTTTTATGTGTCAGGACATAATAAAAAAATTAATCTGGTCTCTACTAGGTTCCAAAATCATTTCATATGCAACCTCAGAAGAACAACATATTATATAATGTCATTATTTATTTAACGAAGGCAAAGTCAAAATGCAGAAGCAGTGTGTGAAAAATTAAATACACCCTCACTGCTTCCATAGGAATTAAGAGGGAAAGTAGCAGCCAGGTGGTGAACAAGTTTAGCTTGTTTAGAAGACTTACCAGTCATGCCAGGAGAAAATGGACGAGACATAATTGGAAATTTTTGTGGTTGTTTTATTTGTTTTACCGTGGTGCTGTGCATTGTGGCCACACACTTACTGCCAACTGTCAGGCACGGTGGTGGCGCGGTGATGATTTGGGCTGTAGGACAAATTGGGTCATGCAACAGGGCAGTGATGCCAAGCACAGCAGCAAACCTACAACAGCATGAGTGAAACAGAAAACAAAGTATTGCACCCACTCAAAGTCCAGACCTCAATCCATCTGAAATACTGCTGCAGGACCTTGAGAGAGCTGCACATAAACGAAAGGCCACAATCCTCAATGAACTGCAGCAACATCATAAAGATGAGTGGGCCAAAGGTCTTTCACAACTTTCCAGAGAAAGCAGTTACTTCAAGTTATTGCTGCTATGCAACTACAGCTTTACACACAGCTGCTCCTGCATTTAGTTTTTTATTTTTCTTCAAATAAATATTGACACAGTATAATGTATCATGTGTGAAGTGTTAGGATTAATTACTCGATTGAAAGTGTGGTTATTTTGACACCACCTCTGGTTTTCTTTTCCAGACTACGGTCATCGAATACGTGAAACCCTCTGACCTCAAAAAGGACATGAACGAAACCTTCAAGGAAAAATTCCCACACATAAAGCTGACACTCAGCAAAATAAGGAGGTAAAACAAACACCACACAGAATATATTCACCTTAACAGAAGCTCTTTTGTTTTCTTTACCAACTTCTTTCTCTTCATTTTTCCTTCCTTGTTCTTTTTTTTTTTTTTTTTTTTTTTTTTTTTTAAACTCTGTGCAGCTTGAAAAGGGAGATAAGAAAACTGGCTCAGGATGAGTGTGGCTTTGAGGAACCGACGGTGGCCATGGCTTTCGTCTACTTTGAAAAACTCGTTCTCCAAGGCAAACTAAACAAGCAGAACCGTAAACTCTGCGCTGGAGCTTGTGTCCTGCTGGCAGCCAAGATCGGGGGTGATCTGAAGAAACAGGAGGTCAAACTTCTTATAGATGTAAGCTTCCTCATGCACACATCCAACCCTCCCCCATCCAACCCCAATGTTTAATTACAGTACAAGAGATTAAAGGGTCAGTTCACTCTGATCAAAGGGAGAGGGCTTTCTTTCCAAATATTTGAGCATCATTTTTCACTGCTCTCAGTGACAGAGTCCACTGGGCTGGGTGTGGGTAGCAGATGAGGCAAAATCGACCCCTCAGGGTTCAAGTGTAACTTTAAACAGCCTACACAACATAACATCATCTGTAATAAGCGGTCTACAAGATAAAGTGTTTCAAAAACTTACTAATATTTAATTGACCTGAAAAAAAAATTAGTGAGAACAGGGCCTGAAGCTCGAATCTCTAAATAGGAGAGCTTTTTGTTTTTTTCCCCCCTACAGGGTAACACATTGCTAGTCTCCTCAATGCTTTAACAACAGCTTTATTTAACTGGGAATCCAAGGGAATTAGTGTTGAACCCTTAACCTCTGGTTGGGTGTGGTGAGATATGTGCTGAGTTGCACCTGGCAACCTGGTACCTGGATGCACACCCCACCCAGTTTCCCAGGGTCCTAAAGTCCACCCTCACATTACCACAGCGGCATAATAAAAACAAACCTTTTAAATATTTTTAGTTTTCAATGTGTTTAATCTCCAAAAAGTGCAGTTTCAGGTTTTCAATTTCAAGTGAATAAAAGAAGTGCATCGTATGATTATGAGAGAAGGAAATATTTAATATATAAAGCCCTGTTAGAGTAGCAAATGCTCCACTTTTTGTGACCATTTGTTGGCTTCTTGCACACGGCGACTAAATATAAAGCCATCACTTTCACACTTCTGAGCCAAGTGTGCTGTGAGCAGTGCAGGGCCAGGTGTTACGACATCCAGGGTTAAAAATAAATAAATCTAAATAAGAAGATTATGAGTCGAAGTATTTTTTTTTTCCTCTCACACGGACTTGCTTTATTTTTCTGCCAGAAACTGGAGGAAAGGTTCAGAGTGAACCGCAGAGAGCTGATAGCCTTCGAGTTCCCCGTGTTGGTGGCGCTGGAGTTTAATCTGCACCTGCCAGAGCACGAGATCATGCCTCACTACAGACGCCTCCTGCAGACCTCCTAGCATTAGTGATCCATCAGGAGGACGACCGCCAGGTTCTCCTTCTGATCTCCCAGCTTTCCACATTTACCACAGTATCCATCCTCTGTCTTCTCTCCTCGTCTCTGTTTGATCACTTCAAGGTACCTCTGGCTGTTGGCGAGCCATAGCCACTGATCACTACAGACAGCCCGCTCCTTCCCCTCGTTGGACCGACATCAGCCAAAGGGACACGTGTTTTTAAACACTGTTTGACTTCTGCATTCGGCATCACTACATGGACTGAAAGAAAAGGGTTCAACCGTCTGGAAGCAAGCTGGTTTTTCTAGTTTGCATCTCTCACATCGCATCCTTCATCATTTTGTATTCTTAGTCCTCATGTTGACACGAGGCTCTTTTTAAAAAAACAACTGAATCTGATAGTGATCTTTGTCAGTTAAAACAATCCGTGATTGTAACAATTTGATCCTTTCTTTAATCTTTTTTGTAAACTTTTTATGATTGGTTGCCTCATGAGCTGCATACAATTTAAACAGAAGCCTTTTAAGAGGCTGGTTTTGTGGCTGGACTGTTATTCCTCAGCGTGAATCATGTTTTCATTAAAAGTGCACTTTTTTTGAAGAAGACACTGGGGCAGGGTGACGGTTTTTCAGACTTTTAACAAGCTTGAGAACTAACCCTGAAGTAGCCCCTGCTGAAAAGTATGCGGTCTTCGTAAGCACCGTACAGAAGACATTGGAACGGACCGTTCAGTTTTTATTTTCTCTCTCTCTTATGGTTTATTCACAGTTTTCCAACCACAGTCTGCATGAAAAGTAGTGATTCTTTGTACGCCGGTACCTGCCGAGAAGTTTTGACTTCCTGTTTTTCACTGAAGTGTTCCATTCATTTTTCTACCACAGTCTTTTATCAGAGTTGAATTTTCTGTGCTCTATGTTAGAGTGTATCGCTAGCACGTTTACAGTGCTTTAACAGATGCTTGTTCTGAGGACACGCTATTGACCAGTGATCAGTATCAGCAGGATGCTCAGGTGCCGAGAGGACATGCCAGTAACTAGAAGTGTGTTTGAGCCCTTACAGGCTGCAGAGATGCATCTCTTTAGCTGACCCTGACCTCTGACCTTTCTCTGATCTCTGCAGAGGGGAAAAATCCAGGCAAAATCTCACGTGGGATCTAGTCATAGGTCAAACATTTACGTATACCTTGAATCATCATTTGATTTGAAATCCACAATGTTTTTTATTAAAAAACAAAAAGTACTGAACATCTCGACCGGCGCGACCACTTAAAGGTGATTCATTCCATTTTTCTGGCATGTCACTTTCACAACTTGATCTTTTGCTTCCTACCTTGCACTTGTCTCGCACACTACCAGTGTTCCACTGAATCAGAAGCTGAGGCGACAGAGAAAGATGGTTTTTGATGCTACTCAGAGCATTATGAGCTGAAATGATCACGAGACGAAACCAAACCGCTTTTGATTGTCTTGATTCAAAGTTGGGTAAAAATGCTGAGCTTATGTTTGTTTGCAAGCCCAAAGACGTTGTTGTAAGATGCACACTAAATGGGGGGGGGTGTGTGTGTGTGTGTGTGTGTGTGTGTGTGTGCGCGCGCGCGCGAATAAATTGCTTTGCTTGTTCAATTGAAACAGAAAAAGACTGATGCATGCTTCTTTTTTTCTTTCTTGCTTCACCCAAATCTGCTGCGCATAAGTGATGGTGACTAGATTTAGTGGAGTGTGTCTGCCTTTGTTTTCCAATAAGTTTCAAATTCTTTGGCTCCAGCGTCATCAAACTTAATATTGTTCAGATATGATAAGTTTTTTATTACTAGTAAATGAGGGAGTGAATATTTCCAGCTAAAAATATTAAATTGAACCATGCTAATCATTACACCTACTTAGCATGTTAGCATAGTGACCATAGTTGCAGCACCCCCTTAGACCTCATGTCTCCCCTCTCTTTCCATTTGCCCCGTTTTGTAACTACTGCTTTAATTTAAAAATAAATAAATCAACAAAAACAAAACATCGGGCCACCTTAGTTTTTTTTCCCCCATCATCTAAACCTGATAAACCAGGTCCTCCCACAGTTTTCAGGCTCAATGTACCATAATTTCAGGCTTAACCAGTGCAAACCGTCCATCTGAAACAGACCTGAAAGACTTCCCTTAGTGTTGCACTGTTGCAGGATATAGTCTACAATAGGCCTGCATGCTGAGATACATTAATCATGTTGTAATGCAAGCTACACTTATTGCATACTTGACCTGAGCTCATGCCATAATACAGAAAGGGAAGAAAGTCAAACTGTAAGTATTGTTTTTATAACTGTACAGCACAATCGAGCTGGCAGGTAACTCATCTTTTAGACAATGCATATTATTTTATTGATAAATAGTCTTGCTGTACACTTAAAGTTGGGTAATGTCAGTTTGACGTGCCGATATTGTGGATTTATTTTGAGCACATGTAATATTGCACAAAATCCAAAATAGCTGGAACAAACTGAGCTACTTGCACAGTGCCTGCACCAGTATCTCTCTTAGGTGCATGAAACCATGCTTCCCTTCAGTTGCTTTCACTGAAAATCTCTGCACTTGCTCCTCTGATGCAATCTGAGAGGTCTGTTTCTTATCAAGTGGGAACTGTCCTCTTCCTGACACGTCCAAAGTAAACAAGGCCTGCAGTCACGCCGGTCTCGTGCTGCCATCAAAACAAACAGGTCAGGCCTGAGTGTGGGCACATGTCCTACATGGCTTAGTCCCCTCCATTGAGGGCCTAATTCCCCCCTCACCACCTCATAAAGGGATCTATTGACAGCCCTTCCTGAGCCCTGCTCACACATAAGTGACCCTCATTGTGAAAATATGTGTACCATCGTTTGGGGCAAGCTGCAGCCTATTGCCCTTCCCTTTAAAATAACAACATTTGGCTGAAATGGCATTTTGCCCCCTTTCCTGTCATGATACAGTGACTCAGGGCTTTTCCATCGTGTACAGTTTGTAAACAAGGAAACGATGAAAGCTAAGGATTGAGGCAAATTACTGTTGAGCAGCGAGTTTGGTGGTCTCTTTGTTCACATCTGCTTCATCTTTCAGTAACCACTGTGCTATTTTTCTAATGCTGCTGCACGGTCAGGAGGGGAAAACTCTGCAGGCAGACCTAAAAATCTGATCCTCTCCTCATGTTTGACGAGGCTACCTAATCTCTTTTGTTCCACCCCAAGAGTCTATTTCAGGGACAACTGAGCCCACTGTAACAAAAAACCAGTGACGCAAAGCAGGTCATTAAACGCTTCTTCCACTTATTTATTGATGGACACACAGATCAACTTTTTAAGTAGGTTGAGTGGACGCTCCAGTGCGAGTTCAAGGACGAGGCTTTACGTTTGATCTTTGAAAGCAGATGCGATGGTGATAGATGACATTTCAGAATTTAAAATCTACCAGGATACACTTGTGTTAAAAACAGTCAGTATTAGCTAACAGATTATTTTGTAGAATAGTCCTGTTACCTAAGAAAAAAATAATATAGTTTCCAGCTGCTGATAATCCAGAGTCACCTTCATCCAGACAGCAGTCAGTGTCACAGTACAAATTATACAATGAGATTTTTTTTAAAATAATAAAATCATCCCCGGTGACTTTGTAGGTGGGGGATTTACACAACATACTGTAACCTTTCACAGAAATGAAATCTACCTCGAGTAGATTTGCGATTAGGTGAGCTGGCACACTTTGCACAAAAAGTAGATGGTATTGCAAAGATGAAATATAAGTGGTTATTAGAAAATATACACAACTAGACCCTTTTTTTTTTTTTAAACCAACAATCATTGTTTAGCACAGGGGTGGGCAATCTCAGTCCACGAGGGCCGGTGTCCCTGCAGGTTTTAGAGCTCACCTTGGGTCAACACACCTGAATCACATGATTAGTTCGTTACCAGGCCTCTGAGAGAACTTCAGGACATGTTGGGGAGCTAATTTAGCCATTTAAATCAGCTGTGTTGGTTCGAGGACACATCTAAAACCAGGTCTCGTGGACTGAGATTGCCCACCCCTGGTTTAGCATGTTAAAAAGCTGATTGACTCAAAGAATAATCTTAAGATGCAACAAATTTCGATGTCCAAAATCTATTCGGGAAAACCAAAAAAAATGAACAAACAAAAAAAACAAAAACCGAAGAAATTTCTTCAGAAACATTTTGTTCTATCGTTTATTGTAAGAGATGAAGAGAATGGCTAAAAACACTTGAGACCTTTGACGAAACCGTGCACACTGGCTCCAGACAGAGCAGAGCAGTAGAAAACAACTTTGGCTCTTTTTTCTTCCCCCCAGAGGTTTATCAGGATCCCCGACTCTCTAGCCTGACAAACGGACACCTCAAGGGTTAACTTAATGAAAAGTTATCAGAGCCAAGCTGTGCTGGTTTGCGCAGGGAGTAGTAAATATGGAAGCTTTGGCTTTAATTGAGTTCCCTGCTTGCAATCTTCATCTGTTAGAAGCTTAAAAATGCTGATGAGTTGCAGAAAAACACCCTTTTTTATTGCTTCTTTAATCAGTAAAACAGCTTTAGTTGTGCCAACACAAGCTTACATTACAAATTATAAACAATGTGTCATGAATGACACTTAATCATGGTCATGTACATTTTTGATCAATTTAATGTAGCTAGATAAAAACAAATGTGCTTCTCTTTTTTGAAAAAACAAAACATGGGTAACCCAAACTTTTCAGCAGCTGTAATAATAACTAGAATTTTATTGGGCTGCCGGTAAATTATAGATTACAATCACACTAGTAAATCAACTACTCTTTAGTTTCAATTCCAGACCACAATTTTCGATTTTCACTTTAGTTTCAGGTTTTGGGTTTCAGGAATAATCATGAGTCATCATCTATTCTGGGCGTTACTACCAAGCAAAATTTGTCTCGTATTTAAGAGATTCTTGTACAGTAGTGCAGAGGAAATAATTTCACACCAGCTGATTTTAGCCACACACACAAAGGGTTGCAGCGAAATGTTTGCCATGCTTCCTGTTTTTCTAAAATAACCTTACTGTGCACATCTGTCTCTGTCATAATGAAAGATGAGGACAGGTCAGAGTCCAGTGAGAGGCAAGCCTCGCACATCTTACATAATAGTACTCCGACAACCTGTCTGCCTGATTCAAAGAACACTCCCTGCTCTCACGGGGCAGTGGATAAATAAGTCATGAGCTGGAGGATTGTGTGACAACAGTGCTCGACAGACAGTCACAACAACACATGCTGGCAGGAAGAAGACAGCTCTAGGTTTGGCAACTGCTTTCAAATGGGATGCGACTGTGACTGATGGCCCCCAAAGTGTTGGTGTTGATTTCCAAAAAGCTGCAAAACTTAGATGCTAAACAATCAGCTCCATTAAGACGTCTGTGTAGCTGTGAAATAGTGACATGCTGCAGAAAACTGATTCACTGACTAATTAAAAGCACTGCAGGACCGCGTCTCTGCAAACCATAAAAATTAGGTCACTTCCACTACATAACTGAGAGCGTGGATTCAGGCGCCACACAGTGGTCAGCCTCAGCTACATTTACTGAGTGGGTTATGCTACATTAACGTCTGCTACAGTTACAGTTCACAGCACTGAAAATAATGAAGAAAAACAACAACAACAAAAAGCTACATCAGCAAGATTTATAGCATATACTCTGAAAACAACATGAAGTAGGCTCTGCAGTATTTTTAAAAGTACCATTTATTTTATTTTAAAATATTTAGAAACTTAAGAATCCCAAAGGTTTGTTAAATTCAGTTTTGACAACAAAATTCATCATTTTAGACGCGATTAACTGTGTTAAAGCACAGCTCTATTAAAAGGAAACAAAAACACCACAATTCATTATTTATGATTACATCAGCTGTGCAAAAGCATTCTTCATATCCAGTTCAAATTCCAAACAATATCACTGCATCACTAAAAAAAACAAACATGGAACCATAAATGGGAAGCAATGGGAGGTATTAATGGTGTCAGCAGAGTATACCGTGGGAGAGATGCCGTCACCCGTATCAGACGTGCTGTGACCTGGGTGAAGCAAGTGAACAAGGTCCTGGAATGTAGTTACAATTTCAGAGTGCCCACAAATTAGTTGTTTTTGTTTTTAAAAGGACACCAGAAGGAATTCTAAGACAGTAATGCATGGTAACAAAACTTTAATAGTTAAAAATCAACTACATAATAAATTAAAAAGGTGAAGGGATGACTCTAGATGAGCACAGCACAATAAGTGTATTTTAATTCAGTCCTGTGAAAGCTTTTTCATGGCTGAATGTGAAGCCGCATCTCTCCACCTTCTTGGTGCAACACGTTGCACTGTAACTGTATCTAAACACTTCAATATAAAACCGTTCTAAGCACCATGGCTCCCTTTGCACCTGGCATCAACATGCATTCTGGCTGCATTTAAGTCCAACAATCCACATCTGCAGTCGCTTGAGGCACTAAAGATAAATAAGCAGGTTTGAAAGTAAAAAGCGACAACTACCAATGTGGAAGCAAACAATGCGGAATGCACATATATGGAATGTTTTGGTTGGGCTCTGTGTCACAGTGTTTCAACACTGATGGCGTTTATATCCACCAGATGCAGAAAAAGTCCTCTTTCTTTAA